CCCTCCTCCTCCCCCTCCTCGCTGGCCCCGCCCCCTCCAGCCACGCGCCTCGCCCCTGCCCCCTCTTCACGCACCCCAGCTAGACTACGTCATTGGTCATCTGCGTGGGCCGCAGGGCCCCGGCTGCGCTGCCCGGAGGTTCTAGGACTGTGGGACTGGAGTGCGGGCCCAGCGGGGGGACGGGCCGCCTGGAGGTGGAAGGGAGGGGGCTGAGGCCGGGGACCGGGAGGCGGTGTGCTGGCCTGTGTGGGACAGTGCGCCTGCCCTGAGGCAGACACCAGTGTTTGAGCCCAGCATTCCCGGGCCTGCCCACACAGGTGTCTAGGATGTGGCTCCGGTGATGACCTGGCCCTGTCTTGGTCATGCGCAGCGGTTGAGGCTTGTGGAAGGAAGCCACCTGAGAAATGCCCATGGGACATCCGATGAGGTGGCACATGCCTGGTCCTGCCGGAAATGAAGGTGTAGCTCCACGAGTGCATTACCTCATGTGACAAGGGTGATGTCAGTGGCCAGTGCTCTGTGGAGGTCCCGTCCCATCACAGGGAATCTGTGATTTCATGGAACCTCAGTAAACTGCTGTGTTCTCAGTCTTCTATCTTTGCGGGGGCTTGAACGGGAGGGGGGGGCTGCTCCTTACAGCCGGACCTGCCTCTCTCCAAAGCCCCAGCTCTGCCCCTGCCCAAGATCTGGTTAATTTGAGCCAGAAGTAATATCTGGGACTTGGGAATCGGCCGAAATCTGGCCAAGTTGGAGTGAGGCATGCCAGCCTGATGGCACAGACTCCTAGGGCTGGGATAGGATAGGGTGACGTGGGTAGATTCTGCTGGGTCCACAAAGAGCTTCCAGTCTGCTGGAGGGATCTAGGGTGGGGCCACCTGCTGAGGATCACTTGCTCAGGGCTGGTGCCCAGACTGTGGTGATGGCCGGCTCAGGGCCGGGTGCCCGGGCTGTGGTGATGGCCGGTTCAGGGCCGGTTCTCAGGCTGTGGTGATGGCCGGCTCAGGGCCAGTGCCTGGGCTGTGGTGATGGCCGGTTCAGGGCCGGTTCTCAGGCTGTGGTGATGGCCAGCTCAGGGCCGGTGCCCGGGCTGTGGTGATCACTGGCTCAGGGGTGGTTCCCAGGCTGTGGTGATGGCCGGTTCAGGGCCAGTTCCCCGGGCTGTGGTGATGGCCAGTTCAGGGCCGGTTCTCAGGCTGTGGTGATGGCCGGCTCAGGGCTGGGTTCCCAGGCTGTGGTGATCACTGGCTCAGGGCTGGTTCCCGGGCTGTGATGATCGCCGGTTCAGGGCCGGTTCCCCAGGCTGTGGTGATGGCCGGTTCAGGGCCGGTTCTCAGGCTGTGGTGATGGCCGGTTCAGGGCCAGTTCTCAGGCTGTGGTGATGGCCGGTTCAGGGCCAGTTCTCAGGCTTTCCCAGGCTGTGGTGATGGCCGGTTCAGGGCCGGGTTCTCAGGCTGTGGTGATGGCCGGCTCAGGGCCGGGTGCCCAGGCTGTGGTGGTCGCCGGCTCAGGGCCGGTTCCCGGGCTGTGGTGACCGCTGGCTCAGGGCCGGTTCCCGGGCTGTGGTGACCGCTGGCTCAGGGCTCTCGGCAGGGTCATGGAGCATGTGTGCTTCCTGTGAGCACGGCAGGGGATGGGAGCAGAGAAGGGACACCTCAGGGCCCTGGCTCTGAACCAGGCAGGGCCTCACCCTGGTCCTACCCACGTGCTCTGGACGCTCCCATCCCTCCCTAGGGGAGCTTCATAGCCAAGTCCAGACTGCCCCACCTGTCTGAACATCCCAGAACCTTGTTCCCACCATGAGCCATAACCTGGGTGAAGGCTGGGTCATGAGTCTGGAGGCCCAAAGGAAAGGAACATGAATACTGAGGGATAAGACAGATACAAAATACTTTATTTCAGATTAAATACCGTCAAAATAGAATATTATTAACTAAGAAAACGGAACAAGGAAGTCTGCTGGGGACACAGTTTCATAGAGGGAAGGGTGCAGGGTTGATGAGGGGTGAAATGGATTGGAATACATTAACACATGAGATGTAACGATATTACGCGCCCTCCCCCCCCCCCCACAGCCAGTGTAACTGATACAAACCAAAACACTTTACAATGTACCATGTGGGAGGGCGAAAGTCTCTACAGTGGCCTAGAGACAGGGAGCAAGCACAGCGTCCCCTGCAGTGGAAGGGGCCGGCCCTTCCTCAAGAAGGGCCCCATGAAAGGTCAGCGGGAAGAAGGACGGCAAGCCCCTCCCTTCTGGGGATTCAGGAGAACAGGGTGTCAGGACTCCGGGGCCTCTGTCTCCACCTGTGTGAGGTCAAGGGATGCCCTCTGGGTCCTGCAGAAGCCACAGATGAGGATCTTGGGGACCATTTTGTCCATCTCACTGGTACCCCGCCCCAGAGAGTGAGGGCCCAAGCAGGTCCTCCCTGAGTTCTGGAGGACCACTTCCCAGGACTGCTGTGGACTTGGCAGGAGTTGGACCCAGGGTGGGGTGGCTGGACCCTAGTCGCTGGTCAGGGGCCCAAGGGAGAAGGCATCAGCCATGGCAGCAGCCGTGGCGGTGGCTGTGGGGGGCCGGGGGAGGCAGTGCAAGTTCCCAGTCTTGAGCGCACACTGCACAGGCCAGAGCACTACGCAGAAGATCACTAGCAGCAGTGCCGAGACGAGGGCCAGGCGACGCCAGTCCCCGCAGCGGGCCCAGCAGCGGGCCCAGCGGCCCTGGCGGGGGGCGGGGGCGGGGACAGGGACGGGAAGGGTGGCCTCGGAGGGTTTGCTCAGGCCCACATCCACACACACGAAGCCGGGCGACTGGGAGCTGGGTGTGGCAGGCAGGGGGCGGCAGCACAACCTGGTGCCCTCCAGCCACACGGGCTCCTCCCGCCGCAGGTGTGTGGGCATCTTGGCCTGCAGCTGGCGGCTGGTGGGCAGAGCGGGAGCCCCCGCGTCCGGGATGGCTGTGGGCTGCCGGCAGAACGGGCAGGGCACAGCCTCACTGCCTGGGCGGCCTGTGGGCTGAGCAGCTGCCAGCCGGGCCAGGCATTCCAGGCAGAAGACATGGGTGCAGGAGAGCTCCTTGGGTGTCTTGAAGATGTTGTCGTAGCCTGAGAAGCAGATGGAGCACTCCAGCGGGGAGGCTACCCTCTCTGAGCCCGGTGTGCTAGGAGATCTAGGACTGCTGGCGGGGCCGGGGGACCGGGGGACCGTGGCTGTGGAACTGCTCCGGCGGGGGGGCGGCACAGCCGTGGGCCGCACCTGCTGGCCGGATGGCATGGCTCTGAGCTGTGGAACAGGGGCTATGAGCGACTCCAGCCAGGTCAGCCTGCCTCTCTCCTACCCAGCTACTGCTCCACAGGTCCCAGAGGACACTGTCTACCTGTGGGCACCTCCAAAGAGCTCCACCTGCATCTGAACTGCACACTGACCTACCTACTTGCCATGGGTCAAGTGTCCTGTGGCGCCCCGGGAAGGGGTGCCCAGAGGGGCTCCGACGGAGCCCTTGGGCATGGTGTTCCACACCGAGGGATGGACACCTACTTCTGGCTCTGCCCACCCCAGCCCATGCTGATGTTGACCGTGGTCCTTCACAGTCCCATTTTCCTATAGGCCCTGTGGGTCTGGGCTCATGCCACGGCATGTGGGGCCGCTGAACCAGGGCCACTCAGCCCAGCATCGGGGACAGGTCCTCACATGCTGCCTGTGGCTCTCGGTCTGGTGAAAGGAAGGCATGTAGTCCCTGAGGGGCCAGGGTCGGGGTTTCTGGGTCTGGGAGCAATTGAGCTTGTCCAGTTCCTCTCGAACCCAGGATCTGACCTGGGGCCCCAGGAGGCTCTTTCCACTGTAGCCTGGCACCAGCGTGCCTGGGCTGGTGAGAGTCCACAGCAAGTGGCTAGAAGTCGGAAGTGCCAGAGGGGTGTGGCAGCCCCAATCACCCTGTCTCACCCAAATACCAGGGTTACAGGGCTCCCTGGAGTGGGATTTTAGAGAATCTGGGCCTTTCTCTTCCATAGCCCATCCCACTTCAGAAGACCCTGCTAACCAGAGCCCTCTGGCCCTGTCTGCTGCCCCTTCCCTAGGCCAGAGCTCTGACTCAGGGAGCCACGGAGATCCTGCCCAGAGAAGGGCAGGTGAGTTGATTGCGTTTTACCCCAAAGGCCCTGGGCCACGTGACCCCATCACCAGCCGTTGCTGACTCATCACTGGGATATGTGAGTCACTGGACATCACCGTGATGTCACGAGAGCCTCAGACTTCTGGCAGGTGAGGTCACCAGTCCCTGGGGACAGCAGGGGCCTTAGCAGGGTCTGAGGGACCCTGGCATTATCTTCCCACCATGTTCCTCACAGACTGGCTCCTTGGCACCAGGCTCCCACCTCCAAAGGGGCCCCACCCTGGGGCCACACAGATCAAGGAGGACAGGCTGGCCTTACCTGGCAGCCAGGGGTCAGTAGCTCCTGGGCATGGTCTTCTGTCAGCCACAGTGGGGATCCCCAGCTTCTGGAATGTTCTCTTCCTCTTCTCTGGGTCTGATGTGGCCTATATTCCACCTAGCAGGTGTCCCAATACAGGCCACTGGTCTGACCACCACGTTCTGTGTGTATGTGGGGTGGGCGTGTTCTTCCAGAAGTCGCTGTCTGAGACAGGTGTGAGTTCTTGGGGTGTGCGCGCCCAGGCAGGTGTATTTATACCCTCCAGGTCATGGTGGCCAGGGGTGTGGCCCTGGGCCTCAGCGATTGGCTGGCCTCTCCTCCTTCCCTGGCGAGCCAGGCACTGGCAGGCAGGGAGCCGAGGAGGGCCGGGCCAGCGGGGTCTGGAGTCAGCACAGACCTCTGCAGCTTTGGCGGTCCAGGTTTGGTGCTCAGATGAAGACCCTCTCCCTTTGGCAAGCAAGTCTGCCTGTCCTGTCCTGGGTTGCTACTACCCTGGCTCTTACAGAGCTGCCCAGAAGGGACCCTCCCCCGAGTCCTATGTGCTCCTCAGTTATAACCCAGCTCCTACCACCACCGTCCACCCGTACCCCCCCCCCCGCTCCCTCCTCTACTGCCTTGCCAACATGCTCTCACGTGTGTCCCCAAGATTCTCAGAGCCCCAACGCCAGCTTAGCCCTGAGGCAGCTCCCTGCCCCCGGGTCCGGGAAGAGGGTGTGAGGGGCAGAGTCAGCCTCAGGGGCAGGGGCAGCATCACGTTCAGGCCTTGGGCTTGTGCGAGGTGAGTCCTTTTAGGACAGTGTCCGTTATGCACTGTGGGGCGGGGAGCAGGTCCTGAGCCGTCTCCCAACCTAGTCAGGCCTGGAAAGCTTGTGGGGCCCTAGCAGATCATGGGGTGGAGGTGGAAGGCGAGGCCCCCGCAGGCAGCTCAGGCAGCCCTGGCCCTCCGCAGCGCAGGCTGTGTCCCTGCTGACCGGCCTCAGCTTCATTCAAGCTTTGCCTTTCTCACCCTCTGCCGTCAGGCCCATCTGGCCCCTACTTGAGGCTTCTTTGCCTGCCGGCCGAGCACAGTGCACACTGAGGTCCTGATCAGAGCTCACACTGGGCCCGTTGGGAGGGGGCCAGGCCCAAGACAGGGGACCGAGGAAACCTCTCGTAAGGTAAGTGGCCTTGCGAGCCAGCGGCTGCCAGTCCCGTGAGGGTATCGGGACTGAGGCCACGTCCACCCACAGGAGGATCCTGGGACGGGGGCGGGGGGAGGGGGTCCTGTGCCCCACAGAGCGGCCTCAGACACCCGCCCGTCTGAAGTCATTCTGTGTCCAGGATCGAGATTCCTAGATGTGAGAAACTCGAGGAGCCCTTGAGTTGGCGATGCCCTATCAGAAGGAGCCCCTGAGCTTGGAGAGGGATAGAGGTCTTCTGATGGTTGAAGGGAGGGAGGACCGAGAAGGGGCCCAGAGAAGAGGTAGGGGTCGGGAAGAGTAGATGGAGGCCAGGCCAGCAAGTGGTCTGAGGAGCATGACTCCGAGTCACATGCTGCCTCCCGGAAAGGCCTGGAATCCTGGCTCCTCTGGAAACATCCTTCAGAGGACTCCTGGAAATACAGGAGCGCTGAGGTCACCGAGCCAACCCGGTGACCAGTCAGTGCCCAGAGGCTGGTGTGTCATGGGGCCTTAGGAACGTGCTAGGAGGTGGGTGGGGCCTGCCTTCCTCCAGTCCAGGCCTCTGCTCTGGGAGAGGCTCAGGACGGCAGCAGAGGAACGGGGCCACCAGCTCCCAGGGCAGCAAGCAGAGCCCCCTGGCTCCCCATGCAAACTCGCAAGCGGGCGTCCAAGTGAGCGAGACGTGGCTAACAGCGTGGGAGCCAGGGGCCAGCCTGTCTCTTCACCCACTGGGAAGGCTTTCTGGATGAGACCCAAATGCCCTGAGGCAGGCTGGACACAGAAGATGCCTCTGGCCAGGTGAGACTAGAGCATGGCCTCCCAGCAAATCATTGTGTCCAGAGCCGTGGATGGCCTCGGCCGTGTTCCCTGAAAATGCCGTTGGGGAGACAGGGGTCCCGGACCTGTGCCTGGCCCTCTGCTTCTGCTGCCCGGTGCTGTCTTCTGCTGTCCCATGTTCCCGTGGGGAAGGCTGGCTGCACACATCCTCTCTGCTGGCCCCCGGAAGGACAAAAGCTGCTTTCCCCATGGGTACATGTGAGGAGGCAGAATCCGGGCTGGCCCAGGTGGGCTCTGGGTGGGAGACACCTTTGGTGGCCTCAGGCCATCTTAGGGACAGCTCTGGACGTGGCCGCCCACCTTCCGGTCAGCACCATTCCTCTGTACCTACCAGGGAGAGTAAGGGCCCCAAAGACCCATCAGACGGCTCAGGCTGAGTCCTCTCCCCGGTGCCAGCTCCAGTGCCGGCTCCTGCAGGGCTCCCCAGACCCTGACTTGTTCCTCGTGCCGCTGCAGGCCCGCTCCTGGCTGGCCTGTGGGCCCTGCACAGTGCTGCTTACCTCTAAGGTAAAGGAATGAGGGATGGGACTGCACTGTGGGGAAGGGCATGGAGACTGGAGTGACGCTGGGTTTCTAGTTCAGGCCACAGGGTGGAGACTACATGATGGGGCCCTCTGGCCCCCTCCCCAGAACGGGGCTGGCAGTGCCACACTGCCTTCTCTGGCTGCAGCCAGTGTCTCTTCCTGCCTCCTCCCATCAGGCATCACACTGGAGAGCCCCAGTTCCCACTGGTCTCAAGGCCCCTCATTCAGCCTCAACAGAGTAGGGTGGACCTACAGGTGGCTGGAATGGAGGTGCCTGCAAAGAGGGATGCTGGATTAGTCTCTGCGTGGTCGCTTCTTACATCCTGCCTCTAGGGTGCGGTCCCTGGCCCCAGAACAAAGGGGCTGTGAAGAAGCCCCTTTATGGGCTATGGCCCACAAGCTGCTGGTTTACAGCTTCCTTCTGAGGGTCGGCAGGGGCTTTGTGGTCTGCAGGCTCTCACCTGGGTTAGTCAATCACTGTAGAAAAGTGTCCAAAGGGGCGTGGCTGCCCCTTGCACAAGGCAGCTTGGGACACCAGGGTGATGTCCCAGGGAGGAGGGGAGCCGCATTTGGGGAAGGGTCCATGGCAGAGGGTACACTTGCAGGTGGGCTGGGACCCCTCATCGGGTGCCAGCTGATGCGAGTGTCCTTGATCTTGCCGGAGGACCTTTGTACACACACACACACACACACACACACACACACACACACTTTGCTGGTCCCTGAGCACGGCAGACCGTGGGGAGGGGCTCCAAGTCCTCAGTCTCATGGACCACTGCTCTCTCAAGCCACACCCAGCCACACAGATGTCTCCATGGTGAGCACAAGCCCTGACCAGTTTATTTTATCCAAGTTTAGATTGGCCTGAGCTGCTGGTGCTGCGGAAACAGCCCACTCAAGCCTGGGAGAACAGCTTCATCAGTGCCAACAACGGTGTGAACAGGATGGGCTAAGGCTAAACAGGCATCACAGGCTAGGGGCCTGCGGCTCTTCTATGGCCTGGGGCCAGTCAGAGCAGACCAGCAAGGGCTCAGACGTAGAGGTCCTAGGGTGGACATGTCACGGCAGGTGCCCGTGTGGTGTCTGCTGGCTGGGGTCTGTCCACTGGACCAGCAGCTGGCTGACAGCTTCTGGGAATTTCTGCTTAACACAAACGGGGAAATCGATTCTGAGCTCCTTCAAACGTGCACTCCAGCCGTGGGGGTCTCAGGTTCTGGTTCTGTGGATGATCTGGGAGCCGTCTGTCTCTGCTGGTTCCCAGATCACGTCCTCTTCACTGGCTGAGCCTGGCCTCACCCCTCCTGGAAGGGTCTGTGAGGGCCACTTGGCCTGTGGGTGCTGAGCTCTGGCAGATGCCGAGCAGTGGTGGCCCCCAGAAGCTGTGTGGGTCTCCGCCATTTGGATCAGGCCTGTGTTTTGGCTGTAGCTGCTAGGACCTAATGTTTCCACTCAGGGGTCCAGTTCCCCAAACACCTTGCTCCCACGCCCCACGATCTGGTCTACCAGCATAAGCGGGTGGCAGGACCACAGGGACCCTCTGTCTCTGGAAGCCTATTCTGGCCTGTCCCAAAAGTCACAGGCAACACTGGCCCTCTGGTGTGCTGGGCTCATCTGAACCACTGCTGCAGGATGGAGTCTCGGCTGGCCTCCAGGTTAGACGTTGCTGATACGGGACTCCGCTGCAGAGAAGGCAGAGGGGTCCCTGGATCTTTCTGGGGGCCTCTCGCGTCTGACGTATCGTGGCTTCCTCACTGAAACAGGGTCAGAAACAGGCTGGGTCAGAGCTGGGGACAGCTCAGGTGTTGGCCAGCACCACAGGCTCGTAGAAGCCTGGAAAGCAGCCCTTGGCTCAGAGCTAGCATGGACCTGTTTACTTTGACCAAGAGGAAGGAAAATGCTTGTTCCCCTGCGCCCCTGGCTGTGCAAAGGGCAGAGGCCCTGGAAGTCCAGTTATCTTGTCAGACCCTTGGGCCCAGCACCTGTGCCTGGACCAGGACACGGCTGTCCCTAAAGACAGAGGCACGGTCATACCTACATTTTGCATTGCACACCATTGCTGGATGGTGTCCCCCCAAACCAGGACCACACATCAGCTCTGGAGCCCATGAACTGGAAGGCTGGTGCAGATGTGATGAAGATGTCCTGGGTTAGCCAGGCAGGCCATCAATCTGAGGCTCCAGACACTGACCTGCGGATCTGGGGACAGACAACCCCACAGGAATGGGACACTGCTTTTACCTGAGGACTGTGGCGGGGGGATCATTGCAGCCTTGAAAAGAGAAAAGCAGAACAATGGTGAGCTGGCGCGGGCACATGCAGGCTCGCAGCTCCGCCCAGCCGGCCAGGGCTACTTACGGCTTCACCAGGCTGCAGGACAGGGGCTGGGGAGGAAGAAAATGGCTCATTACCCTGAAGTCCTGCACCCTCCTCAGCCCTGGGGAGGGTCTAGAGGGTGGGCAGACGCTTCACCCAGTCCAGACTGACTCCTGCTCCCCGCCTCTGCCCAGTGGTACCTCAGCCTGGCCAGCTGCTCGGCTGTATTTCTTGCCTGTAGACCCCAAGTGGCAGGGGCCTGGCCACAGCCACTCAGCTACAGCAGCCCTGGAAGGTACCCAGCTTTGGCTGAGGGTAAACGGAGTGGCTCTGTGCACGCAGGTCGGGTATTCAAGAACCACCAAAGGCCTTCGGTGCAGCCTGAGCTGCCCTGGGAACGGTATGGGAAGGGATGCCCTACACCCTTGGCCTCAGGAACCCCCAGGCCAGCTGGCTTCTTCGTCCCTGGTGCCTTGGCCTCCACAAGCCCACAGACCACTGGGGTACTAGTCATGCTGGGCAGGTGAGGGAGCAGGGTGGGATCTTCCCATGCCCAGCTGGGCAGGTACCAGGGGGGTGACCCTGAAGAGCCCCCACGCTGCAGGGGCCAGCCGTAGACACTCAGCGACTGTGTCTAACCCCCACCCCTGAGAGGGGACAGACTCTGGGTAGAAGTACCTCTGTCTTTTCTGTAGAAGACCCTGGGGAGCTTGCTGGATCGCTTGAGATAGAAGAAGCCAGCCACAGAGAGAATGAGGCCTGCGCTGATGAGAAACGTCCCCAGGAAAAGGGATGCTGCCACGTAGGTTCCTCCTGTAAGCAAACCAATGGCGGCAGGAGCAAACCTAGGTCTTGGGGACAGGGCAGCTAGGGCGCCTTGCTGCCCCCCAAGGCCCAAGCAGGGCTGGTCACAGGTTGGCGTGAGGGCCCTGTCCCGGGGCTCGGCTCCTCTGTTGCGCTAGCAGGCCTGGCCATGGGGCAGGGGATATTTTCCACCTACTCCTGGCCCAGGAAATTCCTGAACCCAGAAGCACCAGGTCATGGGCTCCCTGTCACTCTGTCCACAGACTCCTCAGCACGTCTGCAGGCTGGAGCTGCCCCTGCCCATTCCCCTTGCTGAGGCCAGGCCAGGCTGGCGGTGGAAGGCTCTGCCGGCCGTGACCGCTGACCGGTGAGACGCCCTCCTCACTTGCAAACACATGGCCTTGCTGTGTCTGTCTGGCACGGCACCCCAGGAGACCACTGTCTGACTGGCATGAGCCACACACTGCTGCTCTGGGCAGCACGTCTCTCCCCACAGCCCGGCTGGGTCATGGGCCGGGCCCTCCCTGGAGTTGGCACGTGCTTTCTGGGAGAGGAAGGCCAGGCCTTTTCAGAACAGGTCCAGCATCATGCCAAAGGCCGAGAGCCTGGGTGATATGGCCTCTGCTGTGACTCCAGCCGAGGTGCCAAGCCCCAGCTGGGTCTGTTTCCTGTGTCTCCTTGGCCTGCACTCCAGCTCTAGACCAGGCTTCTCACCGAGCCATTCTCCCTACCCCAACCCTCCAGGCCCCACGCTCCATCCCAGCTACGCCCCACACGCCTTGCTCTGGCAGGCCATCCAGGAAAGGGAAGGGGCTGTGTCTTCCACTGAGGCCAGGCCTTGGGATGGCTCAGGGCGGCCTCCTGACCCCCAGAGGTCCTGAAGGGACTCAGTCACTGGGGCTAGCCTGTCCAGAGGAGGCAAAGGCCAACAAGCAGCCCTTCTGAGACCAGAAAGTAGCCAGCCCAGTGACCTGTCAACATATACTCCAATCAAGCCAAAAGACGCCAGGCTCCGGGGCCGCTGGCCTCTGCCTGCCATCCGTGGCCTTGGCGCCCTGCAGAACCCTGAGCTGGCCAGCCCCAGTATTCCTGGTTAGCACTGGCACCTGCTGTAACTCACAAGTCCCGGGACCCAGGCAGAAGCCCAGCTCTGGCCTGGTATGCTGAGACTTACCCACATGTGGCCGCCCAGGCGTCCCTGTGCTCCTGTTCATGGGGAGTTGTGCTCCCTGGCCAGTAGCTGTGGGAGAGCAGAATGGAGTAGAGGCCTGGGCTCCACCAGGGCCTCAGTGAGGAGCCGCATGCCACCTAAACAGGCATCCCTCACTGGAGGTGAGAGCAAGTGACCCATGCGGAGCAGCCCTCCCCACGGCTGTCCCTAGGGAGCACTCCCCCTCCCCCACGGCTGTGCCTAGGGAGCACTCCCCCTCCCCCACGGCTGTGCCTAGGGAGCACTCCCCCTCCCCCACGGCTGTCCCTAGGGGAGCACTCAGGAAGACAGCTCTTGGAGGCTGCCAGTGCTCTGGGGCAGGTGGGTCCCTACTATGTGGAGACAAGGACAGCAGCCCCCTCAGTTCCCCCCAGGCTAGAGCTGAGGACCCCTGTGAGGCACAGGGCGGCTGGGTGGAAACGCACAGCCTCTGCACTCGGAGCTGTTGTAGGCTAGGAGGGTCCCGTTCTGGCATCGCACGCAGCTGGTGGTCCCGTCGGCGTCCCAGTGCCGGTAGCAGCCTGCACCGAGAAGAGACGTTATTTCCAGCCAGCACAATTCAGGTCATCCATCGTCTCCCAGGAGCTTTCCTGTAGTCAGTTTGTAAGGTAACAACTTAAAAACACAAACGTGTTCCGGAAGTTTGGACAGAACAGACTCCAATTCCAGAAAAAGAAACAAACCCAACAGGAAGCAGATCAAGCCCCATACCTGGGGTTCTTGTGGCTAACACTAGGGTGGTGTAACCACCCGGCTCAGCCCCCCAGGGGGTGTGACCCCTCTGCAGCGGGAGGTGGTCTCTGCAGGATCACGCTGGATCCCAGATGGGCACTGCCCTCTGAGCCTGCCCTCACCCTGCCAGGGGCTCTGCTGGCCAGGACTTTAGAGACAGCTGTTTCTAACTGGGCAGGTTACCCTGAAGACCAGGAAATAACATCTTTGCTTTTGTTTTTGGATGGTACCGGGTTTCAGCTTAGGACTACTTGAGTTATGGCTCCAGCCCTTTGTGTCCTGCTTGTTTCTGAGATAGGGTCTGACGTTTTGCTGCAGCTCTCTGTAGCCACCATCCTCCATTCCCAACCTCCCGTGTGCTGGAGTAACGGACACACAACTGTGCCCAGCTATTGGCTGAAATGGGTCTTGAAAACCCGTGAGCTAAGTTGCTAGGATTACGGATGTGAGCCCCTAGCGATTTTAACACCTTTACTTCTTTCCAACATCCTCAACATCTTCCCACACACAATGGCTGGCAGATTCACACATCATCCACGTTGACCACGGACGTCTCCACCCCAACCAGCTGTAATGACCTACACCACCTCCAGACACTACTGGACCTCCTGGGGTAGCCCCTCCTATGCTGTACCCCAAGCCAGGCCTCCTCCTAGCACCCCAGCCTGTGCTGCCCCCAGCCCTTCTGGTCCAGGTGGTCCTTATCATTTCAGTAGGAGCAGGAGGGCGATGCGTCATGGGACTAGGGGGTGGGCGGCCGGTCTGCAGTCTGCTTACCTGGGCCACAAAGGCCGGTGCCTGTGCAGGTGGTATTGACCTCTATGCAACACTCGAGCTGCTGGACCTGGAGGAAGATGTGGTGAGGGAAGCTTGTGCCACGGAAGCACTGATCACAGTGGTGTAGGAGCCTCAGATCTGCTTCCTTCCTGCATCAGGGGACACCACCCCAACTGGGCCAGGAGCCTCACCCCTAATGGAACCCTTGGTATGGACAGGCCCCAAGAAAACATCAGCCCTGGAAAGATCTAAGTCCAAGGGAGGCTGACATAGGGCTGTGTCTTCTTGTTAAGACCCTGGACTATGGTCCCATTGCATCCCATGAGTCACTGTCCCCCATCCCTCCCATGGGCCCATGGGACAATGGGGTCTGTACTCTGTAGGGCATGTGTCCAGGGAGTGTTTGCTAACTGAATAAACCACTAAGCTAAGCATGGAGCCAAACTCTGTTTGGGCATGTACCACACTAGGCACTGGGCCTGTGTGTGTGTGTGTCCGCGCGCGCGTGTGCATGCGCACGCTTTTGTTTCTGAAGACACAGGGACAAAAAGGATACAAATGGACTGGCCCTGGAGGTCCCCAGCTCGCAGCCATGCGACCACACCTTCTGTGTGCTCTCCCTGCCTCAGAAAGGCCCTTCTTGCCCAAACATGAGCACAAACACACAGGCGTACATTTCTCTGGACTCCATTTCCTATGGAGGTTTCTGGGTCATACAAACTTAAACGTGCTACTTTTCTTTGTTACGAAGTACCTTAGTATGAATCTCAATGGCTGAAAAAAAAAAATCTCTCCTTGCTTTCACAGGAAAGGTGAAGTGTCCTGCCCCACCTACAGCGGCCCTGCGTTTGCGGGGTCTGTCCCTCTGTGGGGTGGCTAGAGACCTTTCTTCATGTGGTCTCCAGCCTCCAACTCTCACCTTGTAGGTCACAGGCAGCTCAGGGTGGGGCATTCCAACCAGTGAAACTATTTGTATTAGTCACCTACAAAAAGGTCCGCCTGTTAAGCTTGCTGCTGTACATACAAGAACCTCCTTCATGGGAAAGGTCACATATTTCTAATTCATGATAAAACCCAAGTACACTGGAAGGCCCACACCAAATGTCCAGCCTGCACCCCTAACTAAGGGTTCAGAACCCCCACAAAGTACTTCCCAGTCCTGAGGGGCTTCACGGTGTTCTCTGACATTAAAGGCATCATCTGTTGGGGTTTACAGCGTGGCCCCAAAGAAAGGCCCTAGCCAGATGAGTGTCTCAGGGCGCCAGCTCACACCCTTGACGCCTGCCACACGCAGCGTCGGTGCCGGACATGCTGCACACAGGCCGCAGGGCTGCAGAAGCCTAGCATGGGAGTAGAGTGCTTGCAGGGTCAGCTCAGTGTGTATTTTCATCACAGCTAGGGTTCTGCTTCTTGTTTGGTTTGTGTATTTTCATCACAGCTAGGGTTCTGCTTCTTGTTTGGCTTCGTTTTGGTTGGTCTGTTTGAGAAAAGGTCTCATACTGGAACCCAGTCTGGCCTCAGCCTTCCCTCAACCTCCTGAGTGCTGGAACTACAGGCATGCACCAACATGCTTGTTACTTCTATTTCTCCTGACCTGAGTTTGGTGAATAGTGGGGGTAGCTAAGGAAGGCAGGGGCGTGCGTGCTACCATGGGAGGGTTCACCCCTGCACGGCCCAGCCCTTGCACTAGACTAGGCCTACCACCGCACTCTACAGGGCCCGCACCCCAACCTGGCTCATCATTCAAGCTTCTGGCATCGTTCCTTCCAGACCCAAAGCTCAGCACACTGCAGTGTCACGGGGTTGGCAGAACCACTTCTGGTGAGAGCGAGGATGCCCCACTAAGAGAACCCTGAAGACACCACAGCGTGTCTGAGCAAGCAGCAAGCAGGTAGGCAGCTCCAGGATGCAAGCAGCCCAGAGCGTGGCTTTCGGAGATACTTGGCAGAGAAACTTTGAAAGGCAAAGCAGAACAGGCCCCGACATCTCTGACCCAGGCTGGGCGTGAGTGACTCACCAGGCCTGGGGGGGTGAGGGCTCCAGCCGGACCTCCCGCTGCTGGCCACACAAACGAGCAGCAGGGAGAGGCACTAACCTTGCTTTCTGTAGACTTGTCGGTGACTCCAACTAGGAGGCCAGCCAGAAGCACAACGTGTCTCAGCGCCATGCCTGGGGCTCTGCTGGTAAGCTGAGGACAGCAGGGTCTGCATGAAAGACGAGCACATGCCAAGATCTGGGTGTGGGGTGGATGAGAGTGTGGTGGAAGGGCCTTGACTGAGAGGGGACAGGGGGCAGCGGCACTGAGGGCAAGACCATGCGGGAGGGAAAGGCGTGGCCAAAACGGTAGTAGGTGCCGTCAGAGCATCCTTACCTGCCCCTCCTGGAGGAGAGCTGCAGACATCAGCCCTCACGCCCCCGGTGCTCAGGGTTCTGCTGAGCCATACAGCGCTCAGAGGCCTGGCAGCCACACCCTGTGGCCCATGGTCCAAGGTAGAAGAATCAAAGAGGAGGAGGGAGGCTCGCTGCTGGGGACAGCTTCCCAGGATGAGTGGTATTTCCTCCAACCGCTGGACACTCAGGGCCCTGGAAGCAAAGCCACGCACCTCTGATTGCCCAGGGCACAGATCCACGGGTCCTCGCAAGCTCTAATCACATTTTATTTATTTATTTATCTATCGCCAGTCCTGGGGCTTGAACTCAGGGCCTGGGCACTGTACCTGAGCTTTTTTTGCTCAAGGCTATAGCACTCTACCACTGCGTGTGGCAGGCGTCAAGGGTGTGAGCTGGCGCCCTGAGACACTTCCAGCTTTTTCTGTTTACATGATATTGAGGAATCAAACCCAGGGCTTCACGCATGCTAGGCTAGTACTCTACCACTGAGCCACACTCCCAGGCCTTACTTCCATCTTTTAATACAGGTATTCAGTCTAATAAATTGTGTGTGTGTGTGTGTGTGCATACGCACACGTGCGTACGCGCGCGTGTGTTGTTTCTGGGACTTGACCACTGGGCTTGGACTGTGTCCCTGAGTTTTCGTGCTCAAGGCTAATAATGTTCTATCACTTGAGCCACAGCTCTATTTCTAGCTTTTTGTGGCTAACTGGAGATAAGAGTCTCACGGACTTTCCTGCCTGGGCTGGCTTTGAACCGTGATCCTCAGATCTCAGTCTCCTGAGTAGCTAGGATTACAGACGGGAGCCACTGACACCTAGCCTAACAAACTGTTATACCTGTGTAACTATAAATGAAATACTTTAAAAAGATATATGAAAATTATCTTCTGGGGCTGGCAATGTGGCTTAGTGGTAGACTGTTTGTATGCATGAAGCCCTGGGTTCAATTCCTCAGTACCACATAAGCAGACAAAGCTGGAAGTAGCATTGTGGCTCAAGTGCTAAAGTGCTAGTCTTAAGCAAAAGAAGCTCAGGGCCAGTGTCCAGGCCCTGAGTCCAAGACCCAGGACAGGTAAAAAAGAAATTATTATTAATTTTTTTTTTGGTCGGTCATGGGGGTTTTAACTCTAGGCCTGGGCGCTGTCCCTCAGCTCTTCAGCTCAAGGCAAGAGCTCTACCACTTGAGCCACAGAGCTACTTCCAGTTTTCTGGTGGTTTATTGGAGATAAGAATCTCATGAACTTTGCTGCCGGGCTGGCTTTGAAATCACAAACCTGAGCTACTCAGCCTCCTGAGTAGCTAGAATTATAGGCATGAGCCAACAGCACCCAGCAAATTGTTGTTTTCAAAAAATTTTTTCGTCGGCTGTAGGGCTTGAACTCTGGGCCTGGGCACTGTCCCTGAGCTCTTTGGCTCAAGGTGAGCCCTCTACAACTTGAGCCACAGCTCCACTTCCACTTTTCTGGTGGTTTACTAGAGATCAGAGTCTCACAGACTTTCCTACCCCAGCTGGCTTTGAATCATGATTGTTAGATCTCAGCCTCCTGAGTAACTAGGATTACAGGCGTGAGCCAACCAGTGCCCAGCAGAAGTTATCTTTTGAAATGAAAAAATATTCATACTATTAGATAGCACTAGATAGTAACAAAAAATGTAAAGTGACATATATACACATTAATATATAAGTATAATGGTACCAAGAATGTCAATAAACTGTTGTCTTTGAATGGGTGGCATTATAGTAAATTTAAAAATTAATTAATTATGGTGCCAGGCCTAGAACTTGAACTCAGGAACTGTACTGTCCCTGAGTGCTTTCGTTGAGCCACATCTCCACTTCTAGCCTTTTGGTGGTTAATTGGAGATAAAAGTCTTGCTGGGCATTGGTGGCTCATGCTGTAATTCTAGCTAGACAGGAGGCTGAGATCTGATGGTTGTGGTTCAAAGCCAGCCTGGGCAGGAAAGCTGTAAGACTCTTCTCTACAATTAACCATGAGAAAACTGGAAGTGGTGCTGTGGCTCAAAGTAGTAGTCTTAAGTGAAAAAGCTCAGGGACAGTGCCCAGGCCCTGAGTTCAAGCCCATGACCAAGCAAAAAAAAAAAAAAAAAAGGCTAATGGGATTTTCCTTCTTGGGCTGGCTTTGAACTGGTATCCTCAGATCTCAGCCTTCTAAGCAGCTAAGATTACAGGCATGAGCCACAGGTGCCCCAGCTTTTACTATTTTATTTTTGAATTGGCATACATTCATAATAACAGGGGATTTGATTGTGATATTTCCATACATATCATCTTCTGGTTTTGTTTTCTTTTTTTTTGTCGGTCGTGGGGCTTGAACTCTGGGCCTGGGCGCTGTCCCTCAGCTCTTCAGCTCAAGGCTAGCGCTCTACCACTTGAGCCACAGCACCACTTCCGGCTTTTTTCTTTTTGCTTATGTGGTGCTGAGGAATTGAACCCAGGGCCTCATGCATGCAAGGCAAGCGCTCTACCACTGAGCCACCTTCCCAGCCCTCGGTCGTGGGTCTTGAACTCTGGGCCTGGGCGCTGTCCCACAGCTATTCAGCTCAAGGCAAGCGCTCTACCACTTGAGCTACAGCACCACTTCCGGTTTTCTAGTGGTTTATTGGAGATAGGAGTCTCACGGTTTCTCCTGCCCGGGCTGGCTTTGAACCGCGATTCTCAGATCTCAGCCTCCTGAGTAGCTAGGATTACAGGCGTGAGCCACCAGCGCCCGGCTTGGTTTTGTTTTCTGAGAGAAGGTCTCACTATGTTGCCCACAATGGCCTTGAACTCACAATGCTGTCTCCATCTCCTACATGCTAGGATTATAGCTAAATATCACCACACCTGGCTATTTGTACAGGTTTTTTTGTGTTAAACAAATTTCTGTCAACTTACAAGGTGGTAGTCACCAATCAGTCCCAAATATTCTGACCATAAATGTTACCTCTCAGAAGACTTTTTACTTGACAAAGCAGCGACGGCATGGCAGCGGCAGGCCTGCCGGGGTGACGTGGTTCTGAGGACACAGAACAGGCCCCTGCTTCACCTGCAAGCGGGGACTTACAGGAAAGGAGACGTGTCAGTTTCAGGCTGGGGAAGAGGAACTATACTCTCTGGCCCTTGGGGAATGAGCGATGAGGGCTCAGGAGGACACAGGTTCTAGTTCCAGACAGGAATCTCTCTTATCATCCACTGTATGCTAGATTCAGCAAAGTGACCACACTGCATGTGTAGGAGGTGGTGCTCAGGCCTGTACGACAGTCTTTTTTTGGGGGTGGGGGGTAGGGGGGTTGGTCATGGGGCTTGAACTCTGGGCCTGGGCACTGTCCGTCAGCTCTTCAGCTCAAGGTGAATATGTATTTTCATTTCTCTTTGGTAGACTAGATTGCAGTGGTTCAGTCACAAGGAGATACATGTTTAATTCTCTGTGAAGCTGCCATTTTTTTTGGGGGGGATGGGGGTGGGGAGCTGGTCATGGCCTGAACTCTGGACCTGTCCCTTGGCTCTTCAGCTCAAGGCTAGCGCTCTACCACTTGAGCTACAACGCCACTTCCATTTTTTTCTGCTTACGAGCCACCTTCCCAGCCCCCGATATTTTTGTTTGTATTAAGTGGTCGTAGTGGGGTTTGAATTCAGGATCTCCAACTTGGTACTACTGTTGAGCCATGCCTCCAGTCCTGTTTTTCACTTTTTTTCCAGTCCTGGGAGTTGAACTCGGGGCCTAGGCTCTGTCCCTGAGCTTCTTTTGCTCAAGGCTAGCACTCTACCACTTGAGCCACAGAGCTTCTGGCTTTTTCTGTGTATGTGGTACTGAGGAATCGAACCCAGGGCTTCATGCATGCTAGGCAAGCGCTCTACCACTGAGCCACCTTCCCAGCCCCTTCAATTGTTATTTTTAGGATAGGGTCTCGCTTCCCTTCCTGTGTACACCTGAAACACAATTTACCTACTTTGTGGTTCTTGCTGGAATCATAGGTGCCTGCTACCATGTCCAGCTTCCCTTTGTGGAGATGGAGTGTCGCACTTTTCGGCCAGGCTGGCCTAGAAACAAGAAACCCATTCAGCAATGGGTTAAATAAAAAGGGTCTCACAAAGTTCTCTGCCCAGGGTGTCCTTGAACTGCGGTCCTCCTGATCTCAGTCTCCCAAGTAGCTATGTAAGAGACAACCTAAAAGATGCTTTTGCTGGGTAACCATTCCCCCAACCAGGCCTCTGTGTCCTTCCATCTGAGCTACCCCCTTTTGTAGTCCCTGTACCATCAATGAGACCAATGTGGTCTCCAGAACACAGGATTCACCAATGAGCATCTTGTAACAAAAGGCAAACTGCTTCTCAAACAGGCAACACCATCTTCTTATCATGAAGAGAATAGCCCAAAGCTACAGACCACCACCAGGCCTGCCAGGCCTTCAAAGTCAAACACTGAGCTAATGGCCAACCAGGCCACACCTCTGACTGATACTGTTTTAATTACACATACCTTTCTCCTCCACCACCCCCAAGTTTCCCTATTTAACCTCCCTCCTGAAGTTGGCTGAAGATATACGGAAGTACTGTCTGCCCATGGCTGCCATGTAATAAATCTCTTTCTCTGCCCTACATTGTGTCTTTTCATTGGGCATTTGTGAGCAAATGGTTAGATCTAACAAGGGACTCCTAGACTGTGGGCCTGGAGTCTAAAATCCCAGTGACAGACATGGTTACTGGCATGAAGCACTAGTGTGTGGCAGACGCTGCCACACGTCCACAACAGTGATAGCTTCTGCTTCTCTACCAGCAGAGCAGGAAAACTCGGCTGTCTGACGCCCTCGGCAACACTTGGACTTTATTAGTGGGTGTGCTGTGGTATGTTGCTGTTACGATGTGCATTTCCCTAATGAATGCTGATTTCCTTTCATGGGTTCATCACCATTTCTAAGTCTTTTTTCAGTGAGATATCTGTTCACATCTTTTGTCTGTTTTAATTGGATTGTCTTCCTATTATTGAGTTGTGGTACTTTATATATTCTTCATCAGTATATGTGTGCCAATATTTTCTCCCATTCCATCACTTTCCTTTTCATTTTAGTTTTCTGTTTTGTTTTGCTTTTTGGGGCAGGGTCTTGCTATGTAGCCCAGGCTGGGTGTGAATGTGCAATTTTCCTGCTTCAGCCTCCCAGTGCTAGAATTATAGGACAGCAAATGTTTCAGTGTTTATTACTTTTTCCTTTATAGTTCTTGCTTTTTGTGATCTAAGAACTAATTGACCTCAGGTCACTATGACTTTCTGTTTTTTCCTGGAAGCATCAGTTTTAACTTTTTTTTTTTAATTACAACTCTAGAGTTATTCTCCAATGATCAACTACACATGACAACGTTCTTAGTAAATACCGGGCTCATAAGGGAATTCTTTGCATTCACTACAGAGTTAAAACAAATTTCTGCTAGAAGGCCAACAATTCTAGTATTATAGGAGTTGGTGTGACAACGGTGGTTGAAAATAAATAGAAGGTTAAAATCTCCCCTTATAAAAATATATGTCCTTAGGCCAGGTGCCAATGACTCACAGCTGTAATCCGGGCTACTCAGGAGGCTGAGATCTGAGGATGTGATTAAAACCCAGCCAGGGGGCTGGGAAGGTGGCTCAGTGGTAGAGCGCTTGCCTTGCATGCCTGAGGCCCTAGGTTCAATTCCTCAGCACCACATAAGCAAAAAGAAAGAAGCTGGAAGTGGCACTGCGGCTTAAGTGGTAGAGCGCTAGCCTTGAGCTGAAGAGCTGAGGGACAGCGCCCAGACCCAGAGTCCAGGCCCCACGCTCGGACCCAAAAAAATAGAAAAATAAATAAAACCCAGCCAGGGCAGGAAAGCGCATGAGATGCTTCTCATCTCTAATTAACAAAAAAAAAAAAAAAAGGCCAGAAGTGGAGTTGCAGTTCAAAGTGGAGGGCTGGAGTAAAGAAAGTTTTAACTTTTATTTAAAAGTAACTTTTTTTCCCCCCCTGTTGGTCATGGGGCTTGAACTCTGGGCCTAGGCACTTCAGCTCAGGGCAAGCACTCTACCATTTGAGCCACAGCACCCTTCCAGCTTTCTGGTGATTAATTGGAGATAAGAGTTTCATGAACTTTCCTGCCCTAGCTGGCTTTGAAAGATGATCCTCAGATCTTAGCCTCCTGAGGAGCTAGGATTACAGGCGTGAGCCACTTGGTGCCCGGCTTAGATAACTTTTAAGATTTTAGTTATTTTTGTGCATGGTGTAAAGTCAAATTTCATTTTCTCCATCTCCAATTTTTACTTTTCTTTCCATGTTGATTTATATAGACACCTGTGTTAAAATCCATTGGCTGTAGCACCAAAGGGATCTGCTTCTGGACTTTCATTCTGCTCGATTCATATCCGTGTCTGGCCTTTGCCAAGTTCTGACTCCACTGTTTGACACTGTTGACACTGTAAGTGGTGCTTAACACCAGGTCTTAGGTCCTGCTTTCCATAGTAGCTTTGGCTGCTCTAGGTCATGTATATTCATATTTGAGTCACCTTCCAACTTCTACAAAAATGTCTTGCTGGAATTCTGACTCAGACAACTGACCTTGAGCAATGTTGAGTCTAATACGCTATAAACATGCTGTTTCATTTCTTTACATCATCCTTTACATCATCTTCCATTTCTCATAAAGTTCTGAATTTTCACTGAAGAGGTCTTGCACATCTTTTGTTAAACCTATTACTATTTTTTGGTATTATTATAAATACAAAAAAATTTCTGTATAAACACAAACTATTACTTAATAACTTGCTGCTAGTATACAACAGAAGCTGCTAATATACAAAAGAAGAATCCATTTTTGTACATTAATCTTGATTTCTGAGGTCTTGTGTTTTTTTTTTTTTTTGCCAGTCATGGGGCCTGAACTCTGGGTCTGGGCGCTGTCCCTCAGCAATTCAGCTCAAGGCTAGCGCTCTACCACTGGAGCCACAGCGCCACTTCCAGCTTTTTCTGTTTATGTGGTGCTGAGGAATCGAACCCAGGGCCTCATGCTTGCAAGGTATGCACTCTACTGCTGAGCCACCTTCCCAGCCCCTGAGGTCTTGTTTTTTATTCACTTAACTGCTCCAGCATATTTGGTAATCTTGGCATTTTCTGTGATCATGTCATCTGTAAATACATGTTTGCTCATCACCAGTCTTTATAAGATTAATTTGCTTTTCTCTTGCTTTACTACAGTGGTGAGGACTTCTAGCATAATGCAGGGCAAAAATGGTGAAGGGTATCATCGTGTTTGGGGTTGGGTGGATCAAGTGCTCATCTCATTGCTTAGTATGACATCGGGGTCAGTCTTTCACAGATGTCTTTTGTCTATTCCTAATTTGCTGAGTTTTTTCTCCTTAACCAAGGAAGGATTTTAAAAGCTCCCTAGTACTTTCCCTGATCTCCTCTGAGGTGGTCTAGTCAGGAGTTAGCACTCTCTCAAAGGCGTTTTCTGCGTCTATTAGAGCGATCATAAGGCTTCCCCTGCATTAATGTGATCACACTCACTGATTTATCACTATCTTGTAAGTTCTAGCCAAAGCAATAAAGAAAACAAAGTAAGTCAAAAAGACTGAAAAATCAGGACAGCACCCAGACCCTGAGTTCAAGCCCCAGGATGGATGGATGGATGGATGGATGGACGGACTGACGGACACACACACGCTGAAAAGGAAGAAGGAAAACTATCCCAACGCAGATGTGGTCGCTTCCATGGTGAATCCTAAGGAAGCTTCAAAAACGTGCCAGGCAGGGCGAGCCGGGCGCCGGTGGCTCGCGCCTGGCATCCTGGCTGCTCGGGAGGCTGAGACCTGAGGATCCCGGTTCAAAGCCAGCCCGGGCGGGACCCATCTCCAATAAGCCACCCCAAGCCCGGAAGTGGCGCTGCGGCTCCAGCGGGAGAACGCCGGAAACGGCTGAGCGCGCGCCCAGGCCGAGCGCAAGCCCAGGCGCGCGCAGGCGCACAGCCGAGCTCGACATCTCCAGACATAATAGGACCGGGCAGTGAAGACTCCACTCAGGAAAGAGCCGTGGGCGAGGCGCCCGCGCCGGGTCGCAGCGGACACCGGCCCGGCCCGCGCCCCCCGCCCCGCACTGGCAGCCAGGCGGGGCGGCCAGCCGCTCTCCACGGGAATCGCTCCCCAGCCGTCCGTCCCGCCGCGCCTCCCCGCGGCCCCCGGGGGCGCCGCCCGTCCCGCCGGGCCGCAGGCGGACCCGCCCGTCAGGACCACCACCCCGCCCGCAGCCGCGGCCCGGCCCCTCCCGGTCCCAGCCTTCACTCACCCTGCGTTCCGTGGGTTCTTCTTTCGTAACCCCCGCTCAGCGGGCTGCCGGACACGCTCCCTGGGACTTGTAGTCTCTCCACCGCCCCAGTCCGGGCGCGCGTCCCACATCCAAACTACAACTCCCGGCGGCCCCCCCCAAGAGCCTACCCCTCCCCCCAGGGGGAGTCACTCGAGACTCTCGCGAGGTAGAAGGGGTGCGCGGGCGATGCATGCTGGGAAACGTAGTCTGCGTCTGCCTGTCTTCGGGCAGTGGGAAGCGGGCGAGGACTCCGTTCCCCAGAATCCCTCGTGGCGGCCGTCGGGGGTGTTTCCGGGGTAGGGCTGCGGGCGCTGGGGACAAGACAAAGGTGTGGGGCCGGGTCGTGTTTGCACGCGCTGCCTCCTGGCGGAAGCCGAGGTCTTTCCGCCCGGAGCCCCGGATTTGCCCGCGGAGGGCTCTGGCCGGGGTCCCTCTCGTTCAGGCCCCTGCCGCCGCGGGCGGCCTCCGACGCTGCC